TTACTTCTTTCTTTTTTCTTTTCTTAATTTTTACTTTTTACTTTTTCTTTTTTTTGGTTTGCTTTTGACTTTTCTTACGACATCGTCGTTCTTTATTGCGTTTCCTATCGACAATAAATCTTTTTTCTTTTTTTTCTTTTTTTTTGTTTTATTTGTAATTCATTTCATTTTTCACTTTTCTTTTCTTTTCTTTTTTTTTTTTTCTTTTACTCTCTTTTATTCGGATTTTGCAAAAATCTTCTTGCGCATTTCTCCTAAGGATTTCAAGGCGACAGCTCCTGAAAGCAAACAGCATTCGGCCGTGTACGCGCGCTATCTGGCAGTGACGTGAAAAAGTTTCACATGCAGAGAGAAGGAGGCACGTCCTTAAACATTTTTTTTTTCCCTTAATTTTCGTACATGTTCGTTCTGTTTCGTTGTCTTTTTTTTTTTTTTGGTTTTTGTTTGTATTATTCTTTTTTTTTGTTGGAGGGAAACGGGGGGCGGATTTTTTGGGGGAAAGGGATTCTTTCGTTCGTTTCTATTCTCTCTTTTTTTTTTCTTTTTTTTTTTCTTTTTTTTTTTTTTTTTTTTTTTAACAATTTGGTCAACTCTCCTTCCGATTTACATATATATCTCGATCTCGTATACACATAAAACATATATATATATATATATATATATATATATATATATATATATATAGTAAGTACGTGCGTGTGTGTGCTCTCGTGTATGTCTCTGCCCAAAAACTTCATATATCCTATATAAATTATCCAAAAGATTTATTTCAAAGGACAACTTTTTCAAGCGACTGCTTTTTGTACGCGCGTACATCGGAAGGTCAAACTCTCTCTCTCTCTCTCTCTCTCTCTCTCTCTCTCTCTCTCTCTCTCTTTTTCATTCTCTCTCTCTCTCTCTCTTTGAATAGCTATTATCTTTACATCCATATCTCATTCTCTCTCTCATTCTCTCATTCTCTCTCTCTCTCTCTCTCCCCCTCTTTCTTTTCTATTTTATTCCGTATTCTGTTCTGTACTTTTTCAGCGAATATCGAAATGACACTTTGATACATGCGAGTTGGTTGTACGGATATACGAAAGTATAGAATATGTAAATATGTATATATATATGTATGTACGTATTTATGTATGTATATACTTTTTATTTTCTTTTTTTTTTTTTTTTAATATAGATACGTGTGTATCTACGTATACATATATATATATATATATATATATATATATATATGTATGTATATAAATAAATATATATATATATATATATATATATATATACCTATTAGGGGCGTGTACGTATGATCAACTATGAGGAATAGAAAGAAGGTATCTGTGTGTGCAATCGACGAACATATTCATGTGGGTAGGAAAATAGCGTCGAATTCAGTGTGGTCTTCGAGAAATAGAAAAAAGAGGGAGGAGAGAGAGAAAGAGAGAGAGAGAGAGAGAGAGAGAGAGAGAGAGAGAGAGAAAGGAAGAGAGAGAGAGATATAGGATGAGGAAAATAGAATAAAAAGAAAAATCGTATTTTCCTTCGTTTGATAAAATGTAAAAGGAAAAACGATTTATAGTCCTATGACTCGATTACCTTATTGTTAGTTATCTGCATACATACATACATACATACATACATACATTACATACATACATATATAGATATGTGTGTTTGTGTTCGATAATTCGATCGATCGTATTTCAGAGAGAGATTTATTCGATCGATGAAGCAAATGCAAATTTAACGAACATACCAAACTCGACGAAATAATATTTATATAATATTGTTCTGTTGCAAAATTTAATTAACGTGCGAAAAAATCACCTGTTTTATATATATATATATATATATATATATATATATATATATATATATATAACAAAAGTATATGCGTTCTTTGCAATCATCAGTACGGCAACCACAATTTCTTAAAATAATTATTCGATTAAAAATAAACAATTAAAATCAAATACACATACATATTAAATAATGAAAATCCAATTAACAGGGTATATAAATTTCAACGTATTTATTTCGAAAATTTATTTTCGCGCATTACCCTCGTTTTTTACCGAAGTAGATGTCACATATATATATGTGTATGTATCTTTATTCTCTATCATAATAGTATAGTGCATGTATGTATATGTTTGTGTCAGTATGTAAAATTATATATTAATAAATGTATGTATGTATGTATGTATGTATGTATGTATATATGTATCTATACCTCTCTCACGTTCAATATGAAAAAGTAGGAAATAGTAGGAAAGAAGGAAATAAGGGAAGAAAGAAAGAAAGAAAGATGCCAATAGCGTACGATAATTTTAATTAAGTTCCGTCCACAACACAACAAAATAAAACACCAGAACAAAAAAAAAAAAAAAAGAAGAAAAGAATGGGGGAAGAAAACTTAAGAGAGATAGGAGAAACATAGATCGAATTTTTCGATTCGCTCGAAATATTGCTCTCATGCACGCACAACGTGTTCTTTTTTTTTTTTTTTTTTTGTTCTCGTTTTGCACCGTACACGTAATCATGTACACTGTGGAAATTTTATTTCTCTCTCGATCGGAATAAAGAAAAATGGAAAGAGAAAAAAAAGAGAGAGGGGGAGGGGAGGGAGGGAGGGAGGGAGAGGAAAAAAAGAAAAGAAAATAAAAAAAGGATGAAAGAACGGCGATCGTCATTACCTCTTCTTTGCCGTTCTTCCGGAGATTGGAAGAGAAAATGGAGAAACGAAATAGAAACGAATAGTAGAGAATTATGTGCATCGATTGCATCGGTCGTTCCTTGCTCTAACTTAGAATACTTCTCTCTGTCTCTCTCTCTCTCTCTCACTCATTTACTCACTCACTCACTCACTCATCCTCTCCTTTTCTTTTGAAAGTTCTGAACTTAGAAAACTTAGAAAAATTTGGAACTCAGAACCATTGATATAAAGTACTTCAAAAACACATTAGTATTTAGTAAAATTAGTAATGTACAATTACAATTATATTATAATAATAAAAATAATAATAATAATAGTAATTACAGTATTAGCAGTAATAATAATGATGATAATAAAAACAATAGTAATAGTAATAATAATAATAATAATAATAATATTAATAATAATAATATTAATAATAATAATAATAATCGTGCGGATTTAGGATTGACGAATTACAAAATTGCATTGATTTAAGAAATTCGCTAACACGAGTTTAGGAAAAAAAAAAAAAAAAAAGAAGAAAGTTGTAAAACATTAGGCCTTTCCATTCGCACATAAATTTTCTCTCTCTCTCTCTCTCTCTCTCTCTCTCTCTCTCTCTCTCTCTCTCTCTCTCTCTTTTCTACGAAAAGTTCTTCGTATACGGCATAGCGATACTTATTCATGTATACGTATACATATATGTATGTATGTATGTATGTATTTATATAAATATAGTGAAAATGTGTAAAAAGTGTAAAATAATCGATCATCTTCGTCCTTAGAGTTTTTTTTATATCTTATCTTATTGTTTGCTTTTGCTTTTCTTCTTCAATTTCATAATCGTTTCCTTCGTTCTCTTTATCTTTTTCTTAATCTCGTTTCTCTATCTCTCTCATTCATTCATTCATTCATTCATTCGTACATTCGTTCATTCATTCGTTCATTCATTCGTGCGTTCGTTCGTTCGTTCATTCTATTTCTCTTTTTCTTTCTATCCATTTTATAACTGGGCGTTTGTACATTGCCATATTGTCTTTCGAAAGAAAGGAAGCCAAATAATTGGCGTTTTCCATTACTCACATTATCTCTTCGTTATCGTCAATATTTTCTAATTATAAACAACATCTCGCTCGTTAATCGTCAAGACGAAGAGAAGAACTACGGCGACAGAGTGAGAGAGCTCGACGAAGCGGAAAAAAAAAGCATGTTTTCGAAAATCGAACGAAATTTCATGAGTGAGAGATATATTGCGTGAAAACTTAACAAGCGTTTTCCGCTCGATCGATCGATCTCGATATATCCTTATATTATTAAAACCATTATTCGAAATTTAAAAGAACTTGAAATTGTGAATATTGATTGAAAATATCCTTTAAAGAGGGGAAGAAAAAAAAATGTAAAAAAAAAAAAAAAATAGAGGAGAGGGATGAACAAGAACGAAGGTCCTAAATTAAGATCATTAGAAAATATCGAGTGTCGTTAGGAACAATGTAAAACAATCAACAGCAAACTCATTCATTCATTCATTATTCATTCATTCATTCATTATTCATTCATTCATTTATTCATTCATTCATTCATTCATTCTCTCTCTCTTTCTCTAATCCTTTTTAATGTACCTCGGAGATGCATGCGTTTTTCTTTCCTTTCTTTCTTTTTTTTTTTTTTTTTTTTTTTTACGGACTTTGTATAACACATAATAGTAACTGTACGTAATTGTGGTGTCTGTGTGTGTATGTGTGTTGATAAGGAGGAAGGATTATGTGCGCATGTTAATATATATCTATTCGTTTTTTCATTTCACATAATATTTCAATACTTTTCCTTTTTTTCTCTCTTAACCAATTTTACTAATTCGCTTATTCTTGTTATATATTTTTATTCATTTCTTTTCTTTTCTTTCTTTTGTTTTCATTGGATTTTTAATTTTTTAATTTTTTTTTTATTTTTTTTTGTATATATATATATATATATATATATATATATATATATATATATATATATATATGTATATATATATATATTCTTCACGAGCCCTATCCACTTCCTTTCATTCTAATTCATATTCACGTACAATTACACACAAACAAACACACATACGGAACAGACAAAATATTTCTTTCATTCCATCACGCTCTCTCTCTCTCTTTCTTTCTTTCTTTCTCGCTCTCTTTCTCGCTCTTTATCTTTCTCGCTCTCTTTCTCTCTCTCTCTCTCTCTCTCTCTCTCTCTCTCTCTCTCTCTCTCTCCTCTCTCTCTCTCTCTCTCTCTCTCTCTCTCTCTCCTCTCTCTCTCTCTCTCTCTCTCTCTCTCTCTCTCTCTCTCTCTCTCTTACTCATCACCGGTATATATTGTATACCTATGTATGTACTGTACGTATACGTAAGATGTCGAGAAGAAAACGATCGATCGTTTTAGACGCGCGGTCGCTTTTCATTTTCTCGGTCGGAATCAGAGTCCGCAGAATCGTGGAGCGGCGGAAATTCGGGAACAGCCTCGCGTTGCTGCATCCATCCCGTCGCGCCTGGCCCCCCAGCCAATGCCTTGCCCTGCGTCATTTTTTGCGATTTTTCAATTGATTTTTAGCCCTCTGTCTTTATGCCCTGTGATGGCGACAAAAGTAGTGCGTGTCATTGGTCACTAAAAGCTTCGACGAAACCACGACTCGCTTAGCTAGCGTCTTCTCTCTCTCTCTCTCTCTCTCGCAC